TAGTTTCCAATCACCTTCTCAGAAGGTATGTGGATCCGTAGGGTATATTGACTTATGATATAGATACTGATATAGATATACCTATATATTCATTTATGTTTGTACATGATACACGTTTTTTTTTGCTTTTGGTTGCGGTGCAGAAGAGATTGGAACATAGATTTCTGGTTGAAGTACCCTAGCTGAAGAAAACTCTCAGCTCATACGAAGTTGCATTTCCAAAGCCAGCCCTCACCTGAGAGCCAGAAAACATCGCTGGAAACGAGTATGGTACATATATATACAGTATATATATTATGAATATGACGGAATCCATTGGAGGTGGTGTGGGTCACAAGGATCCTCGCCCACTGCTGACTGAGATGGACCCGGAAAACCGGTGACTCTTCGGTCCATGAACCAGATGGGTCAAGACCTTTGGGAGGGTAGATGCACCTAGTGGTGCTCCTCAAAAATGGGCTATCAAGAGGAGTAATGGCCCGTATGAAATGCAGGTGTACAAACCAGAAAGCTCTATATATATATATATGTATGTGCTAACTACAATAGTAGACGGACTTAGACCGAATAGAATAGCATCTGTATATGTCTACATATATTGATACTGATATTGCCCTGACGTGTCATTTTCCGATGTTGTTGTCTCCATCCCTAAGTCGTCCGACCGACGAGTCCGTCGCGAGTCGCGAGTCGCTCGCCAGGCCATGGCAGAGCTACAACGCAAGCAGCAAGGGCTAGAACAGCAACTGGCCAGTGTCAGGCCCGGAGGCATTGGGTTCTTAGACGCCAAGGGCGCCGCAGAAGGAATGCATGAGCCATGAGTTAGGGTCGCCATCCGGGTCCAATGTATCGGCTTGGGGTCGGGATCCGCAAGAATGGTAGAGATCAAGCTTTGGAACCCATGCAACATCTGGTTCCAGTCTCTTTCAGATTGAAGGAATGAATCCAATCAATTGTGCGGCTTGCGCGGCCATGCTCGAGGGTCCATTCTTTTTCAAGATGTCCATCCTTTGACGGTCCAAGAGTGTTTTGAAAGATCTGGGAGTCCATGTGCATATCTTTAAACCATGGACCACGAGTCGGTCGTCTACAAGCACTATATTCACTGGACATGTGCACAAGCTCTCTGGCAGTCATGCCATAAGTCATGTCAATGGCCATGAGGCCATGCTCGAGGTCATGCTGGTGGCCCTGTATTTCGGACTCAGGAAGAAACGATGAGGATCCGGTGGTTTATAGATGATAGTTTTGTCGCCGCGGCAGCAACTCGTGAAGCATCCGGACCGTGTGGTGGGTGATGCGTCGTGAGGCAACGCTTGAATCAGGGCGAACAGCACTTGCACTGGTCTCGTCAGCAGCTGCAAATGCAGGCCCAGAGAGTTTGGAGTGTGAACTGCTAGAAGCGTCCTCCCAAAGAAACCGAGAAAAGGATCAAAAAATGCACGAACACGAGTTATCAACGACGGTATCTTCGACATGCTAATAGGTGAAAGGTGACAATCCATCTTGCACAAGCTCTAGTAGCTGCATGCTGTAACACTCCCATGCCTGAGCTCGTTAGGAGTCTGGCCCCAGCACTCGTGCAAGAGCTGAGGCAGATTGAATTGAGCACTGGAGGGGGGAAAGGTCTGGGGAAGAAGGGTCATTTTGCAACCCCCGGAGAAGACTGGCAAAGATTTAGGTGTTGTGGGGAAGCTTCGTTAAAAAAAAAAAGGGCCCCTCAACACCTGCAGACAAAAGGAAACTCGTACTCGTGAACTTGCAAGAGACGTCTTCTGGCGTCTTCGGTACAGACCAGTCTAGAGAGTTCATGGCAGTTGATCAGGTGAAACAAAGATGCCTACGACCGGCGTTTTGAAGCATGCACAACGCCCGACGAATGTCTCAGTTGCCATTTTTGGGCAGCGAGCCAACCAAAAATACACACTCCCTGAAACAATAATGGAAGTGGATGCCAAGGCCCCGAAAGCATCAAGGCTAAAAGAAACTGCAGTTTGCCGCTGACTGAAGGGGTGACAATAGAGACAAACAGGAAGGAACATTGATAAGACTTGTGCAACGGATTGATGGAAGAAAAACAGGGACAGCCAAGGGACATGCATGAAAAGGAGAAAGGACAGCATAAGCAAAAAGGAATAAGGAACAGTAGCGGGGCTATGTGGCTATGTGATATGTTTTATCATTAATCATGGTTTGTCAGCTATGTGAGGTATGTGTTATAATGCTTTGTCTTTTGTATGTTGCAAGCTTTTGTTTGGTGTGGGTGATGGGTTTAAGGAGGAACCCTTTCAAGTTGGGTTCGCCCCATGCATCTTTGTGTAAAACACAAACGGATATGCACATGTTGGCAGACATGTTCCGACCGGCCACGCATTTGTTTACGTGTTTGCATACGGTCGCAGCGTCCCAGTAGGGGGCCAGTACAGCGGTCGATGAAGATGATCACGATTTCTCGGAAGGGCCTTGACCAACCAGCATCATCCACATGATCCTCACTGTTAAGCGTGGACCCCCATCCAAAAGACATCTTGGAGATTGTGCCATCTACGCTGAAACCACTGGTCAATGGGATATGCCAAATGTTTGCACATCTTCCTTGTCGCTGCGCTGCTGAGGTGGAACGCTTGGACCGTGCCATTCAACAGGCCATGGCATCCTTCGCCTTCCGGTGAGCCGGTTGTGGGGCTCCATGAGAGGAACCCATCAGAGGCACATGTGGGTATCTGTTTCAATCAGGGTCAGCCAATGGGTTCTGACTTTGTTGTTTTTGGATGCACATATATGCATTTGGAGGTTTTGTACCGTGTTCTCTTGTGTCGGATGATCCCATTCTTCAGCACGGGCAGCATCCGGCAGCATCTCCCGTTCGCGCCGTTCGCATGGGAAAACGGGGTTCACAACGGCGCCAGGCCATGGACCAGGACGCCTCGTTGACGAAACAGCTGGAGGCCACACGAGTTTTTTTTTGGTGCCATGCAAGAGGAAGAGGATTGAAGAGGTCATTTTTTTCTTCACCTGCAGGTGGAGGATTGAGGATGATTGAGGGTTTCAGTGGATGATGAATGTCACAAAGCCAATGGGAGTGGCTGCCACTGACCTCCAGTCGGGTTTGAGGGATCAATGCAGGCCGGCATGTATACCTAGAACCGTCGTGAAGCCATTGGACCTAGGAAAAGACCATATTTTGGATAGTTGATCTTCCAAGAATGGAGGTCACTCAGGTTCTGGGTAGTGTATATCTGGCGTGTTTGGGAGAGTCCTGGCGGCTGGTCGTGCGGGTAGTGGGCCGATGCAGGCTGAAGGAGGCCAAACAAGTATGGCCTCAGGTTGGGCGATCAATCTTGGAGCTTCAGGAGTGGTTGATGGTCTACGAGGTGGCTATAGGCATTCCTGTCTGGTCAACTTGGGCCTCCTGGATGCATTTTTTGTGTCACTTCATCTGACAGAAAACGTCAGGCTCAGCAGGGGCCTCGCCACCTCAAAGCTGCGATCGCGACCCCGGCTTCGCCTCAAGCTGAGCCTCAAACTTTGCATCAGAGGTCTGGGAGTGAGATGCTTGTGGTGCGAAATGCATCAGCAGCAGCATGGAGTTGGGCTTGTTCCTCTATAGAGACTGCACACACACAAAAAAATAGAACGGACACATCTCGAAACTGGCAAGTATTGGCAAGTGTTTCTTTTGAACCTTTCCTATTGAATTCATGTGTTGCTTCTTTGAAGCAACTTCTTTCCGCGGCTTCACTCCTGACATCTCCTGACCTGAGTGGGAGGCCCTTCCAAACAGATGGCTTTCAGCAGATCCAGCAGAAGCTCCTTGGCCCAACTCGCTAGTCGCTGGAGGATCTCAAGCTATCTCAAGGTTCGCCCGCAATGCTTGGACCGAATTGGCTTTGGAAAAGCACCGGCAGTTGAACAACTGGAGGCATCTGGGTTTGTTTTGGCATCCATGGTTTTGGTCGATGAAACACTTAATGAATTGGATGTGTGCACGCCTGAGCAAAGTCACTCATGTTCTTTTGATGTTTGTTTTGGTAGCCTGACACAACAACCTTTTGATCCTGGATCTGTAGCACTGGGAGTTGCGCACTTGGCGCGCATGAACTTCTCCGGGACCGTTCAAAAAACCTCGAAGACATCAGCTCCCGACACTGTCATCGTTCTGCTGCAGAACATTGTGGGATCGACGAAGTGCATCACTAGGAATGGAAGTGGACTCGCCATGTGAACATCGCCATATGGCTCTAAAACTTCACACAGATAGAAGCTAACCGTTAACCACAGTCCAGATCCAAGTACCTTCTCAGGTACTTGGAGACACTGTCATCTATGTTTGGAGGGTCCAAGTACCTTCTGAGAAGGTACTTGGATCCCTAGGGATATGTGTTTGTGTATTTTTTCTCTTTTTGAGGACCATGCATCCCACCCCACGCATCCCCATGCCCCTGTCAGAAAAATTATCAAGTTCCCATGGTAGTTCGGGCGGGTTTGTATTCAAAGGAGATGTTTCTTCTTTGATTCCACCCCTCCTTGCCGAGGTTGGACAGCCACATCCATCGCTTGCAGCAACACACCGACCAGCTCCGGAGCAGCGTCGATTTGCCAGCACACCCTGACAAGCGCACAGGCGTCGGTGGAGTCGAGTAAAAAGCATGTCGTCTTAGACTGTAGTCAACCCCATTCATTCACCACGGACCTAGTCAAGGCTCAGACACCAAGTGTTTCGGTCGCTTTTCCTCCACAAAAAAAGGTGATTTCGGTGTCGGAGTCGATTTCGCTGGGGGTCTCGGGTGTCGCGCCGAGTCGCGGCGACTTCGGTGGGGGTCTGTAGAGGATCGAGCGCTGTTTCAGCGGTGGGCGGGAGACCGGCAGGCAGGCGGTCTCTCGGCCAAAAGTGGGGTCCATATAGGCGGTCTTCCATATAGGCGCATCTTCCCGGGTGTGTAGCAGTGTAGCTGTTGAAATGAGGATTTGCAGGAGAGTTGGGTGGTGAGCAGTGGTGAGCTTTCTTGGAAGTGGTTTTTCTGGTTGCCTTTGCCGCAGGTGACATCACACCGCTAATGTACCACAACCAGACCCCAGGTCTGGGCGCGCAAAGACCGCGGTGAATGGAAAAAGTGCCCCAGGTCCGGATACCACGCTCAAGGTTGGCCACGGAAGGGTTGGTGATTCAGAAGCCCCAACCGTGTGGGACTTGATTCCACTTGGATATACTCCCGAAAACTAACATAGACCCTGACAATGGCCCTCTGGAAGAGTGTTTTCCTCTACCAACCAGTGGTTTTCAGGGTCCATGTTAGTCTTCCAGGGTGTAGGTCTTTTTATTGGGACCAACGTCATTGGATGTTAGGAACTCCAGGAAGGTGGACTGCTACTAGCAGAAACTCCACACTCCGTGTGGGTCCTTTGGTCAACAGGTACGACCAGATACGATTGGTAGTTTCAGCTCATGCGGTTCATCTCTTAGCCTATGGCTCCAGAAGTGGGCTGGTTGCAGTCCAAACACCGTGGGACAGACTTTGGATCAGGATCACTGCAGTTTTTAGGAACCCTGTTTGATGCTAGGCTATACAGCGTAAATGTCCACCATCCTGTAAACAAGTTGCGTACGTGGGGATTGTTGTTCAATGCCATGTCCCGGAGCAATGGTTTTTTCGACCTTCCAATCACTTCCGATTCTTTATGTCCAAGAAAGGCCCCAAGGGTGATTGAATGCGCGAGACCCCCCTTTTGGTTGCACAAGGCCACCAATATAAAGATGCTCGAACACTTATAGACGTTCTATGACGTTCACTTGGTGCTCACCAAAGGCCAAAGAACGCAACTACCAGGCTGACGAACTTCGACCGTGTCTCCCCTCGACCCACTGGTCATTTTGGCGCCCACTGAGCACTTCGGAAGTATGGCTCAAAATGTGGCACGTGCCACTTGGCCTTGCCAGAACACATTGAAAAACGCACAGGGCTGATCGCCCGATGTGGCACAGATATCCCGATTTTCTGAAGAGCTGGAGGTAGCAAGCAACACCTGAGAGCATGCTGCTAGCACCCAAGAAACCAACGCCTCAAGTGAAGAGCTGCTTGCGACGAAGTCCTGCTATCTAAGTAATAGTTTCTTGATGCTATTGAATCATTTAGGCATAGATTGGTAAGCACACAGAAGCCTAAGGATCAAAGACCAATCAAACTAACATTTGGAAGCCCAACCTTTGTTTTCGTCCGGCTCCGACCTTCGAACTGTTTGCCGAGTCCTGTCAACGCAGTCCATGCGGAGTAGACCTACGCCCGTCCATGCGGACCGGTGAATGCTTCGTTCAACCTAAGAACTGCTGGGTCCCCCCACATACCATCCATGACCCATACTGTATACAAGCACAAAGCATATCAAATCAGATCAAATCTCATGCCTGGAAAAAGAGGACCAAACTCAGGAACAACAAAAACATGCAAAAAAGAACTCGTGACTCCTCTCAGTGCTTTACCACCACCCACCGTCAACCCACCGTCACCCCTTCGTCTTCCCTACCGCCCCGGGTGCGTCATGGCGACACCGCTGGGTGCATCAGCGCCGCTGGGAGCGCCAGCGCCGCTGCTCTGGAGCTCAGGCGATGGAGCTCGGTAGACATCGAGGGATAAAACATGATCAACCCCCCGTGGGTGTGACGAGATTGTGGAAAGCAATTTCATTGCATTTCAATGAGTTTAAAACTTTTTGGTGTTAAGAGTCTACACTATAAGCAAGTAGAGCTGTAGAGCTCTCACAAACGGGTGCAGTTGGTGGCTGGGAATGGGTTTACAGACGCTCCTGGGTTCTTGAATTCGGGCGGACAACACGTGAAGAGAAGGTGCTTGCCTCTACAAGCCAAAACAGTTATTAAGCAACCGAGACGTTATTTTTGTTCACTTCCATTCAAGAGGTGGTACTTGCCAGGGCGATTCACTGTCCCCGGCCTTGTAGAAACCGCACGAGACTGGTCGTGTGGAGGTGGGGGTGGTTTCTTCGAAGCCATCGGCGCTTCACGGAACGATGGTCCAGCGAGCGTTTCAACGCCTTACTTTCCTTGCGGGTCGCGCAGAAGCCAAGAAAAGACGGAAGTGTAGGCTTTGGCCACCTGGAAGGGAACATGTGAATACATGTGCCTTGCGGATGTTCATGGATTGTCTATGGGTATGTCCAGTGGAAACAGGTGAGTGTGTGAAACCTGGCATACCAGGTTTCGAGATACCAATCACAACTGCACAAATCACACAACGATTCGGACCCCGGCGCCTGCACCAGGCCCTCAGCCGCACCATGGGCGACCCGTTCTCCCCAGGCGGGGCACACGGATCTACCCAGGCTTCAGACGGCGAAGACTACACCCGGGAAGATTAACATAGAACCTGAAAACAACTGGGTTGTAGAGGAAAGTAGTCTTCCAAAGGTCCATTTTCAGGTTCCATATGGTTCCATGTTAAATCTTCCCCGGGTAACATCAACTCCCAAAACCACTTGGCCAAAGCAGTCCTTCGGGGTGCTCGACCCGGGTCGAAAGTCGAGTGTCTTCGGCCAAAAACGCCGGAGTGTCTTCGCCCTGAAGCCACCGGGCGCCCCTAAAAACCACGCGCATCTCTGAACCCCCCCAAAAACCCAAGAATTCCTTTCCACACAAGGGTGAACTGATAGGCATCTCCTCCTGAGCGACGTCGACCTACGAAGGGGGCGCGGCTGAAACCGCGCCGCCGCCGTTGAAACCGCGCCGCCGCCGTTGGGTTCGGCGTTGGCACCGTTGGGTTCCGCTGGGTCCTTTTCACCTCGTCTCATCGTCGGTTTGGTCGGGAACCACGTCGAGATGGATTGCCTTCGAGCGCCTTTGGGCAGCTCGTCTCGGCTCGAAATCGGTCCAAAGTCAGACCTTCCGGCTGATGACGCCTGGGCCGCTTTGGCACATCTTGCTGATAGGCACCCTGCTTCTGTTGAGCCTACTTCTGGAAGGCTGCAAAGAGTACAGCGACACCCAAGCCGCCAAGGATGAGGTGTGCTTTAATGTCACTTGCCCTTCCTATTGCCTCACGTGCATTGACCAGAAGTGGGACTTTTATACCAAAATGAATCGGGAAAAATCGTTTGAAACGATGAAAATGTGCGGCTACGACCAGAGAGACTGCGACGAGGCTTAGCCTATAGAACTGACGGCCTTGGGGCGCGCCGAGCTCGCCAGCTCGGGATTCAGTGATCTGGAGTTCGTTTGACCTGGCCTTGTGGAGCTTCGGAGTGGAAAGCAACCTGGAAACCCACTGCGATTCAATACATGCCCTGGCTTGGCATTCACAGGTCGCCTGCCTTGTACCATGGCTGGCCAAGCCACCATGTCAGGACCATGAGTGTGCAGGGAATGAAAAGGAGCCGCGATCAACGACAAAAAGGGGGATTGACTTGGCTGTTTTTTCTTCGGGATTCTTCGCTTGAGGACGCGGAGGGGTCGGACTCTCCAGTGGGTCCGCATCCGAACCAAACCCGACTCTCAAGGAGGATGAAAACCCCCGCTGTTGGATTCTCAACCGACCGTGGGACAGTCGATGTGCTGATGCCGCAGCAGATCTGCGGCATGATTTTGGCCGCGACACTGGTGTTTTCGTTTCCCGGAAATGTGGCATGATGTGAGAATCAAAGCTATAACTTCGCCAACCTTGGGTTTTAGAACCCTAAGGCCCTCAGGTGGGTTTTCAGGCGAGGCTTGCAAGTGTTTGGCTTAGTTGTAGCTAATTGTATAAGTAAAGTGGATCATTGTGGTTCTAAGTGTCAGTGCGTGTGAACAAGAACATAGTCCAAAACACACAAGAAAGCAATGTTTATTCAGCTTTACTAAGAGTGACATATAGACTTGTCACAAACTTCAGAGAGCTTTTAACCGTTCAAATAGCAGCACAAATCTACCAAAGAAACAGCCGAACAAATCTATTCAGTCAAGAGAACCACTATAAGTGTAAAGCAAACATCCCACTCAGCGGCCTGAAGCCTAAAGTTATGATTCTGACGTGGTCTCCACGATTTGAAATCCGAATTTCAGATTTGATGCCTGTTTCTTGAAAAGCAGTTTATGTTTGAATCTGAAACTGAATCAGAAAATCTGGCACTTCTGACTGTCAGCCAGCACTATTTTGTTCCCTGCTGTGTTCACTCGAGTGTTTGGATGGGGAGGGGTTTGAACGGACTTGACATGTTAGCAAAAGATAGAAAAGGTTTGCAAGCGACCAAGCTCAAAGCTTAGCTAATATAGTTACCTAAACTTAGCTAAAGTCCACTAAACTTTGATTGGACGTAGCTTAGTTTATATCTCTATCTAAATGTCATTCAGTAAATTGGCTAACCAGAGTTCAAAGTGTTGTTTACTCTTGCAGGGCAAGGGATACGTAATCTTAGCCAAGCCCAGGCCCCACAAGTGACTTGGTAGTAGGAGGGTCGTAGCTGGATGACTTCTGCCTGGCAGGTGGTCCAACCACTTGAACGGGCCAGCCACCCTCGTCCTCACCACGGTCGCCACACGCGCTACGTGCGGGGTGCGCGGGGCGGCACGCCGCGCACGCAAGAAGGCGGCATCAGATCTGCCAGAACCACCTCCATTGCCAGACTTGCCACCCTTGCCGAAGAGGCACGGACAAAGCTGGCACCACTCAGCAGCTTCACTTGGACCCCAAGACTGTTATTGAAGACAGCATGTTTCCAGGGTTCAAAGGGTGGATTAAGCTGGTATAGACTTCATAGACAGGTTGGTTAAGCGCAGTGGTCCAGCTGGGAGTGATGCTGGGTCCGAGTCGGAATCGCAGGACAAGTGCGAAGGCCAAAGCAAGTGAAGCAGAGGAGAACCACGGAGTGGAGCACTGAGGCATGAAGAGACAGAAGACTTGAAATCAAGTGACGTTCCGAGCCAAGCACCAAGCCTCCAAGATTGCGCTCGACAAACAGATGGCCGTTCAACGCCTTTCAGCGATTTACTTGTCCAATCACCTCCAGACACACCAAGCCACGCTTGAACAGATTTCACTAGCTGGCTGCCTGTTTCTACCGTGGCTGGCAAGGAGTCACCTGATGTGCCACCTTTACCACCGTTGCCTTCATTTGCCATCAGGCTTGGTGGCATAAATTAATGCGACAAAGGGCCCAATCTTGCAAATGATTGATGAAGCTTGTTTTTCAGCCAGGGACGATTCAGAGGAACAACAGCCAAGTGCAGCAGAGGAGGGCACTACGAATCAAAAGACATGGAGTTTCTGAGAGAGAGAGAGAGGGAGAGCCCGAAAGAGGAAGAAATGAAAGGAACAAAGGTCCTATTCCGCAACTCTCCATTCTTCTGAAACTTTTCTTCCGCAACTACTTGGTACTCTTCCGCAACTACTCTTCAGAAACTATTTCGCGATCTTCAGAAACTACTTCGCAAGCTTCAAAAACCTAATTGCATGCTTTAATTAGATTGCTTTAGAAAGTATTCTTCTGAACTTTTGCAATATTGTAACCAAATTGCATGAAGGAGCACTGGGTGGGTGGGTTATTGACGTACCTTGTGACGGCTACGGTATATAACGTATATATATATATATATTTACGATCTGCAGATATTCTTTGTGCAGGCTTGATGTTACTTTTCGACTCTTCGTAGTTTCCGAACAGTACTTTCAAACCGTAGAGTCTCCGAAGAATAGTTTCCGAAGAACACCGCGTAGTTTCCGAAGATTAGTTTCCGAAGAGAACCGTAAAGTAGTCCGTAAAGTTTCCGAAGATTAGTTTCCGAGAAGGAAACATAAAGTTTCCAATAACCACCCTTTAGTTTCCAAACTTTGACCAAATCAAAGATTGGAAGAACAAGAGATATTGCAAGAACATTTAAGATATGTAGTCACACCACAAAGGCAAGGAGGAACATGTACGCAAGGCACATCCCTATCAATGCCAAACACTACTAATGGGCTTGTGTCGTTTTCGCATTTTGGTGCCAGCTTCAGGTTACTGGGTTGTTGAGAGACTAGTGTGGAGGATAGATGTCTTACTCGAACCCCGTCCGATCTGAGCTGAAAGCAGACGATTCGTTGGTTCATTACTTGCACCCACAGCTGGCAAGGAGCTGCCTGATGTGCCACCTTTACCACCGTTGCCTTCATTTGCCGTCAGGCTTGGTGACATTAATGCGACAAAGGGCCCAATCTTGCAAATGATTGATGAAGCTTGTTTTTCAGCCAGGGACGATTCAGAGGAACAACAGCCAAGTGCAGCAGAGGAGGGCACTACGAATCAACCACCATGGAGTTTCTTAGAGAGAGAGAGGGAGAGCCCGAGAGAGGAAGAAATGACAGATTGGAAAAATGAACAAGAGATATTGCAATGATACGTAGTCACACAACAAAGGCAAGGAGGAACATGTGCGCAAGGCACATCCCTATCAATGCCAAACCCTACTAATGGGCTTGTGTCGTTTTCGCATTTTGGTGCCAGCTTCAGGTTACTGGGTTGTTCAGAGACTAGTGTGGAGGATAGATGTCTTACTCGAACCCCGTCCGATC